GCGTAAAGACTGCTAGATAATTCAGCCTGACAGTGCTGGAGCTGACCTCTTATACGAGAGTCTAGTTGTGAATGTTGTGCGTCAGAGCATTGTGGGGGAGAGCGTGTAAACCGCTGGACACATCACACTGTGAGTCAAGCTTTCTCCGCGGCCCCGCGCTCCCTGCTGCTAGTGTAGAGGATGCGACGTAAAACGGAAAGACCATGGGGGATGGTCAAAACACTTATCAACATAAAAGTAAGACACCTACTTGAAACCTCAAAAGATTGTAATTTGCGTTACTATTGATAGAGGCTTTCGTAAGGATAGTACGTGAAAATAATTCCGCCCGGAATGAACACCTCTTTAACGCACCGACTGCTCGGGCTGAATGAATACCCGAGGGTGTATTTACTATATTGGAGCAAATTACGCAGAGGGCTTAATTACACATCCGTTTATAGGAGAAGGACTCTTTTATGTTCTGTTGTTTACGAACAAACAAGTTCCTCTTCGAGGTAAATCTGCGTGTTCACGATACAGTGGCGTACAAAAGTATTTGGATACTTTTACCACACGTGGTATAAGTGAATATGTTCGCGTTACATAAAATAGCAAAACAAAAACAAAGTTTACATTTCAAATAATTAAACAATTTAATGTTTAAAATGAATTAAGACAGGTGTTTGATAATTTGATAAACTACCTGTTTGGTAGCTACTTGGTTCGAAATATTTAACTCTAAAATCATTTATTTGCAGGTATTTTGTTATTTATTATTTATTTAACTGTTTTATTTTAATGTTATTTTATTTATTTATTTTCATTTATTTATTTGTACACATTTTGACTTTGATGCACATTATTTCTGCGTAAAATTAACAATATTAGGAATAAACTATGATGAGAGAAAAAAAACAAATGTACACTCAAATGTATTTGTTAGTAGATGTAAGTGGTAAAATGCCCAAAACTTAAAGGCCTATTTATAATTTATTTAATTTAACTATTTTATTTTATTTATTTGTTTTCATTTATTTATTTTTACACATTTTGACTTTGATGCACAAAAAATTAACAATATTAGGAATAAACTATGATGAAAGAAAAAAAACAAATGTGTACACAAATGTATTTGTTAGTAGATGTAAGTGGTAAAATGCCTAAAACTTAAAGGCCTATTTATAATTTTTATTTAATTTTTAACTATTTCATTTTAATATTATTTTATTTATTTGTTTTCATTTATTTATTTTTACACATTTTGACTTTGATGCACATTATTTCTGCATAAAATTAACAATATTAGGAATAAACTATAATGAAAGAAAAAAAAACAAATGTACACTCAAATGTATTTGTTTTTTGATGAAGTGGTAAAATGTCCAAAACTTCATTAATTAAACAAGATAGGCCTGTTGATTTAAAAGTATATGGGCCGATATCTGGCACTGATTTGTTTATACAAATCATCATGGCAAACAAACAAAAAGTTCCCTCACCATAACTCTTGCTTGCCCCGCCTTTGTTTCGCATGACAACGTTTCCTCCAGACAGAGCACTCTCATCTCTTAAACTTCAAAAAGGAGAGTTGAATACCTTCTAGACACAGAGCCTGTTACCCAAATTGCTTAACCTGTATCTAGGCGATCCCATCCGAGCTCCGATGGTTCACTAAATTTTGCTTGCTGATGGGGGTCTTCTGCACACAGGAATGGGTCGTTTGTCAAGCGGTTCATTTGATCTAAGCATGTATGGCTGGTTTTATATACATGTTGGCTGCACAGACACTGATCATACAGACTTGTTTGACCCATTTGGATACCCAAATCGAAAAGGCGTGTGATGCTTTATAGCCACTGCTGAATTATAATGACAAAAACTCAAACGGTCTTTACAAGTGTTTTATATTTAGACCCACACACCATGCACGCATTCATAATTTAGTCTGCTGCTGACCGATAATGAACGCTTTATATAAATGAAAGTCATTGTGTTCCTTTTTAAACCGAGTGCTTGCCGTTGATATAGAACTAGCAACAAACAAATGATACACATTTCAACTAGTCTAGTCTCTTACAAGCTGTAGCCCTATCAACTTTCTGAATGCAAGCAGAGGAATGAAGTGAATTTAATAATAACAGGGCGCTCAGCCGCTCTCCATGGTGCTGCAGTCGCGCTCAACCGCTTCAGATCAGCCTCTCAAATGTGTGTGGAAATGAGAAGATTTTGTTCAGTCAAACAGTTTAAAAAGGTTGGGGTTAAAACAAAGAGATGTTTTTAGATTTTTTTTTTATAATAGTGGCGTGAGAAACTGACTTGTGCTGTTTGTAATATGTGAGATTAATTTGTTGCAGTGCTCTAGGATTTGATCAATCAAGCACAATTATTTGAACTGAGTTCTCACAGTAATACAGTGATATTATTATAGTGTGCTGGATTTACTGAGCAAGTGGCCTGTAACTCCTCTAATATATATTCAAAAGTGAATCACTTTTACCGCTCTTTAATTGTAGCACACCTCAAAAAAACGTATTGCCAAGCCTATATCAAACACAGAAGTGACAACCCGCCCTTCAAATTCTACATTTATTGCGAGGACAACACTAAGAAACCTTTGATAACGTTCTGTGATTGCACCGAAACTGGACAGAAGTCAGTGCTTCCCTCTATAGGACACTTTTGGAAACACAGTGACAGAAGAATCTGCTAACTTAGACTGCTGGGAGTGCATTAACCTTCCTGCCATCGTGTTCAGTGTTGGGGAAAGTTACTTTTAAAAGTAATGCGTTACAATATTGCGTTACTCCATAAAAAAAGTAACATTACGTTACTTAGTTACTTTTTATGGAAAGTAATGCGTTGCGTTACTTTTGCGTTACTTTTTAAATCTGGACAGGGCTTGCTTGTTTGTTTTTAAAATAAAAAAGTTATATTTTTGGCAAATATATAAAAGCCTTTTCACACCAAAAGTGAAATGAATAAGCCTCAGGCTGAAGGGAAAGTACATTTGATTTAAATTTCAACACTTCAGCAATAAAAAAAAGACACGAATGTTTGTCTAGAGAGTAATTTTTGCTTATTAGTACGGTTGAACTGGATCATCGAAGGTCGTATTATATTAAGTATTATATAGTATTATAAGTATTATATAGTATTATATAAGTTCTATATTCATTTGTAAATTAAAAAGTAATGCGTTACTTTACTAGTTACTTGAAAAAAGTAATCTGATTACGTAACTCGCGTTACTTGTAATGCGTTACCCCCAACACCGATCGTGTTAGTGTGACTAATTCAAATAGGATTTATTTTGCCCAGACAATTAGGCCTAGGCTACTGTAAAGTTTACAAATAGCTTAACACTCAGCCGATTCTGTGTCATTTTATCTAATAACCTAACAGCATTAATAAATGTATCGTATCACTTAAAAAACAGTCAAGCTGGAAGCAATATGGTGTGATGTTAGTGCAGAGGTCAGCAACTCTACAAGGTCCACAAAGATGGCCAGTAGGAGGCCTGTCTGTACGAACAAAGACCCCTCAGGCTCCGCTGGGTCAATACTTGAGGAATTCCTGACGATACCAATTAGATGGGCACGAGGAGCAGCCCTTTCAGGCCCTCGGCCGGAGAAGAATGAGACTGAATCGCAGTGATTTTAATTGGAGCGGTTTTCACTGTAGTGCACGGCTTTAAGTGATTTCTGAGAAAGCACTCGTGGGGTAATTTAATTATCAGTAGATTTAAAAAATATTACAGTCATTTTGGAAATAATATTTATTTATTTATTCATTCTTTCTTTCTTTTTTTTAGCACTTGTACACTTTCTGTTCTCATTCGAAATTACACGTGAGGTGTAATCGCAACATGACCCGACAGCCCGATTTTATGGCCTTATGGGTTTTTCTATTTATTTATTTAATGATTTTTTTGGCAGCAGGGTTAATGAGCGCGTATATGCCCTCGACATGGCGGCAGACGTGTCATTGTTGAAGGCAGGTCATCAGAAGTCGCTCTATCGGGACGCTGAACCTTAACCCCTGGGTCTCTGTTTACTTGTTATATGCCACTGAACTAAAAGGGGCGTCGTGTGCCTGAATAGGTAGTTAGAGCTACGACCAAAGAGCATGAACAACTTTGCACACAGGTTCAGCGAATTTCGTTGGACAGAATGAGTTTTGTAATTCCAGGGGCTTCAAATATTTTTGTAACCCATTTTTTTTTAATCCCAAGGTCTTCTGGCCCTCGGATTTATATTTAAATAAGCAAACAATTGTCACATTTTATTGTACTGTGTATTCTTGAGCTGGCTGTAAACAGTGATCAGTTAGATCAGTGATGCACAAATAAAAAGTGCAATTGTGCTTCTTCTTTTTAAGTGTAAAACTGTGTAAAAGGTTGTTAATGGACGTTTTGATTTCAGAATTTTTAATGAGACTTCATACAACTGTTCTTGGATCCAAATGCATTATTTTTAGAAGAATAAATCTGAATAATGTTACCAATAATTTTGAGAGCAAACCACTTATTTGTATTATCTGTGATAAGTATTGTAAAACTGGTGCTATCATTATTTGCATTGGCCAGAGGGAAGAATGCACTCCTCGGTTTCTGATTAATATGGTGAATATAATATTTGACGTCGAGGAAAGCTTTGATCTCGCCTCCCATGTATTTATGTATATATGAATGGGTATGTGAAAAATAAGCTATCAGGATGGCAAGACAAAGGTTCATTCAAACAGTTCCATTTATCTCGAGTCCGGCATTCCTGTTAAGTAATATTAGAGTTTGGCATTCATAACAAACTATACAACGCGTTACACTTTCTAAGACATATTTTTTTCATCGGGGATTGCCTTGTTTCTCAGATCACAGGCTCTGGTCGTTTAGAAAAAGGAAGAAGAATGTCTCAAGCGACACGGCTTCCCAGGTTCCCCCAGAGATATGCCATTGTGACCGCCAGGAAGCTCTCGAAGCTGCGAAGTATAGAATAACACGTCTTTTTTCTCTCCTATAGATTTCAAAAGCACAGATCTCTGTTCTTGCAAGTAGCCGCTCTTCATGGGAAACACAGGCTGTCACGGTAAGTACGTTTTAAAATAATAATAATAATAAAAAAAATCGTATTTTATGTGAGTATATTTTACAAAGTGGTTGTGTTTTGCTTTTCTCCTATCGATTTTTTTTCTTTTTCTTCTTCTTCTAGATGATGTCACTTGAGGCAGTTAAGGAGAAAGGGGGGATGGTCCCAAGAGGGAGTCCCTTTTTGCTGGACCCCTGAGAGACTTCAATACCTATGCGATCACTATCACAGTTGAGGTGAATATATCTGCAGACATTGCCATTCATTTAGCTGTCTAAGTTTTAATTAAGCTCCACATAATATGTATTATGTAGGCTATTCTAGAAACAGAGAATGCATGTTAGGTGGGAACGAAATAAAAGATCATTGATCATTCACTCTAGTCTTTTATCCAAAATGCCACTGTATCATGTATGCTTAGCAATAAAACAAAAAAAATGAAAAAATCGTATTTTATGTGAGTATATTTTACAAAGTGGTTGTGTTTTGCTTTTCTCCTATCGATTTTTTTCTTTTTCTTCTTCTTCTAGATGATGTCACTTGAGGCAGTTAAGGAGAAAGGGGGGATGGTCCCAAGAGGGAGTCCCTTTTTGCTGGACCCCTGAGAGACTTCAATACCTATGCGATCACTATCACAGTTGAGGTGAATATATCTGCAGACATTGCCATTCATTTAGCTGTCTAAGTTTTAATTAAGCTCCACATAATATGTATTATGTAGGCTATTCTAGAAACAGAGAATGCATGTTAGGTGGGAACGAAATAAAAGATCATTGATCATTCACTCTAGTCTTTTATCCAAAATGCCACTGTATCATGTATGCTTAGCAATAAAACAAAAAAAATGTATATTTTCATATAATTTATTGGTGACATTCCTCCAGATGTTTAGCTTTCAGTGTCAAACAATGCCGTTTTAAATGCATTACTCAGCTTACAGTGTTCAATACATTTGACATTTATCAAAACTATGCTTCAGAGCTGATGCCATTACATATATTTAGACTCAAATTTGTATTAAGAAATAGGAAACTGAAGAGTCTACTCTTACGGGATTGTTCAAAGATAACAGTGTTATTCTAACAATGCAACTATTCATCTCTTCTGAAGAAAATCTTTGATATTTGGAAGTGTAGAAACTATGTCATCAATAACTTAAAAACATATAAACAAAATAAATATGTATTACATTAGTAATATACAAAGTACTCCTGATTGCAGTTTAAGAACAGTAGCCTATCACATGTAAGTTAAAAAGCATCTGTTTTATGTGTATGGATCTTTGTTTTCTACTTTATACTTCAATAAGGAAAAAGTGCTTCTCTGTACACCACCTATAAAAGCCGTAGTCCAATACATAACACATCGTTGGCATTGTCAAGCACTTGTACAACATCCTAATTCATGATTACAAACATTTACTCTGTTATCTTGCTCACATAAAAAATAAACGACTGTACAGCTATGTACAATAATTACACGTCTTTCCCTGGTGGAAAAAAACATATTTTTATTTTTATATTTTTGCACACTAATTTTCTACTTAATATACTAAAAATTCTTCTTTAGTACTTCTTAGGATAATCTTAAGAACATCTAGTGTACTCAATTTTGAGACACCATGAATATGAACTAAAATGTGCTAGAAAATGTATTTAGGTACCACTTGAAGCCATCTTTTTATACAAAGGTGGGTTCAAGTGATAACTAAATACATTTTTTAATACAGAGACAGTATGTTAAAAGTACATTTAGTTCATATTCATGGTGTCTCAAAATAGCACAGTTGAGTACACTTAGAAGATTATCTTAAGAAGTACTAAAGAATCATTTTTAGTATATTAAGTACAAAATTAGTGCGTGAAAATAGAGCACTTTAAGTACATTATGCGAGTGTACTTTTTTTTCACCTGGGTTAGCAGAAAAGACTTCAAAAAGTGTGAAAAAACAACGCAAAAGACTAAACTTTCAGTAGTGTTAAATTTGGTCACATGAACCTATCTGGACTGTCTTTGTGTTTCGGATGCAAAAACAAAGCAAAAGGATGTTTCTCTTCATTCTCGGCCCTTCTTGACACATAATTCCCCAAAAGGTTTTTTTTGTTTGTTTTTTCCCCCCAACATCATCCTTTCTCGAGAAAATTGTTCCATGTGACTCCTTTGGTCTGTTGGACTCTCAGTGGCTTTGGATCTCTTCTCCATCTGTGTCAAGAGAGTGTTAAATGTCAGCCCTTCTGTTGTGGCCCTTGGAGCCCCTGTGTCGTCGTCTTCTGCGTTCTGCCCGACCCACAGGGGCTCTGTGAGAGCCGGCCTGGTGCCGCTGGCTCTCTCTGAGCTTGCGCACCATCTCATGGTCCTTGTTGCCCAGAACACGGGGCAGGAAGAGGGAAGCTTTGTCCGTGCTCCGTGTCTTAAAGCCCCTCCTGGGCCGGCCCTTCCCATTGATGGACACGTACCACTGCCTCTTAGAACTGGCACGCCGCTTGCCGCCCCCTGCCCCGGACCCTGTTGGTGGAGGCTGGGTGGTAGCATGGTGCCTTGATGCATAGGTGTTGTAGCCTAGCTCGTGAATGCGCTCCAGAAACTCACACTCTCGGTTGAAGCCTTCCTGAAAGGGTTAAAAAAATCGTATTACTTTATTTTGACATTCATAACTGGACCTGGAACAAGATGCGCCCTCAAAAACTTTAGATATTTAGTCTCCATTTTGTAGAAAAGTCAACATTTAAACTGATCCAAAAGCTGCACAATTGAATTCTCAGCATCTCAAACGCAAAAGTAAGAACCTGGTATGTGGTTATCACTCTCTGCTGACCAGAAATTTCAGTGACAAGGTCCCCAGTGAGGGAAACAAAACTCAGTAATCAAACTCTCAGTAATCTAGCAGCATGTGGGCATACTCGTTCCGCATGAAAAACACCACCATGTGGCCATAGCCTCAAATAGCCCTTCTTGTTATCTGATCCCACAGCTAGCGAATTTCTGCTACTTGATTTTCCGACGTGACATAACACTTACTGAAGCATACAGACGTCCTTTCTCATTCATAGCCAGGTATCTTCCAGAAAACAGGCCTTTTATCGCCACAACACCGACATCCACAGCTGTGATCTCGAGTATACCTAGAAAAAGAGCGGAGTAGTTATTATTGCGCATGCTAGAAATGGGGAAAGTCATTTACAATAGCTTTTCAAATAGAATAAAAATGTGTAGGATTCGATACAAGGTCAGTCGAGGTCGTTCATCAGTTTTCACAAACCTGTCATGATTTCTCTAATGTTTGAAGGCGTAATTTTATTCAGTTAACGATTAGTTGTATTAATAATTAATGATTATAGAAGTGTTATTATACTATACATTAAATAGTTACGTTTATTTACTGTAATATTAATTCATATAAAAGTATTTTATATAAATAAAAATAATTGATTTATGTCTTTAACTTAATTAGGCTAAACCACTTGCTTTAAACTTACAATCTCACCCACGTTTAATATTAAATAATTTAGAGTGTGTGTTGTTCAGTCGGATTAATTGTAAATATTGTGGTATATGCCGTTTTAAATGTGGTTTTATTTCTACATAAGTTTTTCGTTGATGAAGTCACAGTCTACACAACATACGCTGTGGGGTTAGATATACAGACACTAAACGCCTCTTAAAGAGGATGTTTATTCATCCCTTTTTTCCACTGATTAATGGCTCTCCTCATTCTTCTGTTTCGAATAATCATCCTTTTACGTTGGATAAACACATCCGTTGTCTAAGTCATCATGTTAAACTGTCTGTTGAATCCTGTTTTCGTATGGTAATTTTCCATGGGCACTCGGATTTGACAAATTGGAAAACTAAGACAGATAAACGAATGCTGTAATTTAAAGAACGACGATTTAAGATTGCAATGTAGGCTACGAAATTTGACAGGGAATTGTCTTTACGATGTAAGTTATACAATCAAAGTCATTTGAAATGTATCTCACAAAATAATGCAATACAGTTGCTTTATTTTCAAGACCTAGTTTTTAGTTGTGCAGTCCGCAAAAGTGCTCTCATCGTTACTTTAATCTTCATTTAACTGTGGTAAGAACGCTGATTTAAATGTTTTATATTCGTCAACTTAACATAAGCCGGGCAGGGTGAATTATTGTTCGATGTTAATTATTTAATGCGCAAGGCGCCTCCCGAATACTGTCAGCGCGCAATGTTTTCCAATGTAGGATTTGCACAATTACGCAAGCCTCATGCCGCACAGAAATTGACATTCACAAATATGAAAAGCTAGAACGGTTTACTCACTGAAAGGATTGTTTTCATCAAGAGATCCGTCTATTTTCCCGTTCGGGTGAATTTGCAAGTGATATTTTGTGGCGCAGTAAAGTTTCCTGCGTCTTGGAGCTCCTCCGAGGTGCTCGTAAACCCCGCCGCGTCCACCGGCATCTCGCCGCTGCCTTGGGTCACACGCCTGGCCCCTGGTACAAGGCGCCCTTGGGGTCCTGGTCAGCCTCGGAGCCAGAGATTCCTGTAAACTCGAATCCAAGGAGCTCAGTAACAACAAGAGCAGAATTATAACCATTGTGGCATGGCGGGATGTCGGCAAAATCTCGCTGGGATAGAAAGAGCTGGCACACGGGGTCCCATCAAAGAAGTATCATTAGTCAGTGATCCAGTCAACTGAATATTAAAATCAAAACGTGCTGTATCCTTCTGTCCCCTCTTTAAAATGTCGCGGTCATCTGTTAGAGCCGGCTTGGTGGCAACAGCATGGGCTCGCCTCGTTGGTGCTCATGGGTTCCACTCTGCTCTCCAAGCAGACTGTATCTGACCGAGGAGGAGAAAACAGCCAGTCGGTTTCACAGGGAGCCTATCGTGAGATTTCGCTGATCGACAGTGTGCACAGAAATAAAAGAGCCCTCCTGCAACAATAGCCCGAACCCCGACCAATTGATACAAAGGAAAAGGGGAGGCAAGGTATCAGTCTTGTGTGAACCATGAGGCTGCAGCGTGGATAAAATTACACAGCACTACACACGGTGGCTTACAGCGGAAAACCGCATCACAAAGAGAGAGACATCCAAGGGCAGAGTTTGCTTCTTTTGAAAGATCCGAAAATTATATTGAAGCATGAACACTGGCCTGCATGGGAGAGCCGATTTTGATTCTCTTTTCATGCCAGTTGGCACTTTCCGACAGTGATGATAACATTCATAGACATACGCACGTGGCTTTCAATGATCCACATTTATGTATGGAATGTTTCTGACTCATAATATAAAAGAGTGACTGAAAACGCAAAATAGTCTGGACAATCGGCTAGAAAAAAATCTGTAAAAGTCACTTGCAACGGGAAAAGTTCATGATGGGTTATGCATTTA